CTAAAGCGTACCGTTCCAGTGTGGGGGGAATTAGGCAATTCTCTCGTCCATATTCATATTCGCACCGGAACGACATTCACATCCACACTACATTCAAACAGCCGCACATCTCATCGACACCCACATCCCACACCCCATATACAGATTTTTTTTTTGATATTTAGATTAACCATAATCTTTTTTCCTCACCGACCACATTTTGTCGTCATACAACCCAAGAGAAATCTATTGATATTCCCGTCTCACATCTTTAACGGATTCAATTACGATTCTTCAAAAATCTACTCTTTTCCCTAAGAAAATCCTGAAGAGAGCGAGTATCCTTGAAATATCGAAATCTTGACAAAATTAGAAACAGGACAAGGGAACTTTAAAATCAGTTTTTTGGTCCTGGTCAATATTTCGGTTTTGATTAAAACTTTTTATTGCTTGTGGTCTCGATTTTGTTTCCAAAATATCAGCCACTTTTATTAATAGTTTGATTAACTCTTTCAATATATATTAAGTTTGCATTAATGATGTGGGCAAGCTAATAGTGTGAGCATATCTTTAAATTCATTCATCAGAATTAGAGAAAAAGCGATGCTTCGTTTATTTTGGTGTTGCTCGAAAGTTTGTTTAGAGCTGGCTGTGTGAAATTGAAAATTCTCTCATAGCTCACAGTTCTTTAAGAGATGCAAAATCCATATGAGTCATCTTCAATTAACGTTTCTGGAAAGTTCAGTTTGATAATAAAAATACTTATAATCTGCTGGACTAAAACTACTGTTTTTAGAAGGGATCCGTGATAGAACAAGTAAAAATACAACAAGAAAAAGTATTTTACTTGTACTTTAAATAAGCTGCTCGCCCTTTCACTTATACTTTTACGAAAAAAGCAAGATAGATAAAAGTACAAATACTTTCGTTCGAGTTCTGATAGGGATTTTGAAGATGATTCTATTTCCGATGCTGGTAAAACGGCAAAATTTCAATCTCACAAGAATCAGTTCACAAAGTCGTACGAGTACAAATCGAAAAGTATAGTCAGAAAATGTTACGAATTTTTTGGGTAGGATGAGTGTAGATTTATCCTGTCTTGATCCATACCTACACCTTCCAGTTGTATTCTTTTTTAAAATTCTTCTCTAATTTATCTACTATTATTGATGCGGAGGTCAGATTTCACGCAAAACTCCAATGAATCTCAAAAGAATGATCGCGCTACCTGTAGGACAAAATACAGAAGAAGTAGAATAATTTTGAAAAATGAAATAGAATGAAAAATATCATCGACCTATATTATACGATTAATAGGAAGTATAAGTTGAATCCGACTCCAGTTTTCAATTGAATCTTAGTATCAGATTCCAAGCAGATTCCGCCTAAAACTGAATTAGATCTTCACAATATCCTGTCTACTATTCGTCGGAGAATCCTTGCTAGGATTTATAGTGCATGCTAAGAAGAGTCTGAATTGTTAATTTCGAAAGAGTTTGGATAGAAACTTAAACAAATGCTAGAAAGGATTCTTTTTAGCCTTAAGAAATCCTGAAAGCAGAAAAGAATAATATTCGATGTAGGATCTTGAACAAATACTGATTAGGTACGCAAGATACAGGATTCCAACGGATCCTTACAAAATCGGTCAAGGAATAACGACAGTTGAGTCTATAAAATATAGGTCTACTGTAAACGGATTTTTCTAAGGTCGTCGCAGCAGCGGTTAATTTCCAGCCACGATGAACATCTCTGGTATATAACATATTTGTATAACGTACTCGTAAACGAAACGGCTCAATACAAATGGAAAGCATCTATAAAAAAAATCCGCATTTTTCTGTAAAAGAATTGCACAAAATATCGATTCTTATATCTCTTTAATAAATAGGTTTTGAAAAGAATATTTTTTCATCAGTTGATTTTGTGTGGATGTTTCTCTTTTTTCTTGTCTCAGTTGATTGACGAATGTGCAATGAATATAAATCATACATTGTTCGAACGAGGAGAAAATTTTCTATCAACTGATAAGAAAATATTTGTTTGAAAACATGTCTATCGAAGAGTTATAGGATACAACATTTTGTGTCATTTCGGTTATGAACGCGTGACAAAAATAAATTATATATGATTTGAAAGAGGAGAGAAAGTTCTGTCCTTTGTTAAAGAAAAACTTTTCTTTCGGCTTCTTTCTATTGAAGAGAAATAAGGTGCGACAATAGTCTCATACCTTTGACATCATATGTTACGTAGAGATGTATTTGAATAGCTTATTAGTACTTTTGTAGCTATTACTATTTTTTGCTATGAATATAAGGCTAAAATGACTTAAGATTCTTTTGTTGAATGGTGCCAATTTACGAAGATTAGTCCCGAAAGTCAATTTATCAATCGACACCAAAAGCTCATCAAATTTACAGATTGAGTGATAATAGTATCAAAATCTGTCAGTTCATAGTATTAAGTTACAATTAGTAGAATAGAGATCGTTGCCACTAACTACATAACGAATTGATTCACACGGTTTCCATATTATCATTCATTCTCCTATTAAGATACATATAGTGCATATTGACATATTTTCAAGTGTAAGACAATAAATATTCCACTGTAATTTATTCTTTTTATATTTCACTGTAATCAGAAACAATTTCATTAAACAAGTATAGCATGTTTCTATAATATTTTGATTCTTGTTGCGGACAAGAAACCTAGCCGATGTTTTCTTTTTAACGCAAGTTAGAGATATGTTTATATATATAAAGTTACTATCGTTGTCAAAGCAAAATGTTTCAGCGTGGAAATTTTTGAAAATAATGCTGTACAAACTTTCTTTGTAAAATCGAAATATAAAATATTTCATTCAAATGTGTTAGAGTTTATGGGCGTGGGTAAGGATGAACAGAAGATCAACACTTATACTCACATCCATATCGTACAATTCATTGTAATGAACTAAAATTGATGCATGTCTATATATAGCTAATTACAACTAAATAATTTTTCTTTATAGAATCTCATGATAAAGAAGCGTAGGTGAGAAAACTATTGTGTCTAAGAAAATTAAACAAGATGATTCCTATCAACAATAGTACTATTGCTACTTACATGCCAGAATTATATCCATTTCAATGGAAATATTATTACCATTTAAATTAAGAATAGAAAAAGTAATTAGTGTCAGTGTACATAAAAGAGACACCATACATAGTTAAGTAAAATTTTTATTAGTCGATACTTCGCCAACATGAATGAAGTAGATTAACTTTCATTATTGAGTGGACTTTCTTCTTTTTATTTATTTAGTTACTCTTTATCTTCGATAAATCTGAATAAATAAACGAAGAAATTTAGAATTTCCATGGACTCTAAAGTTTGTATTATCTAAGCAGAAAACAGCTAGGCAATGTTATTTTTTAATTTTAAAATTTATCTATAAATCAAGCTTCATCCATGAACTAAAGGTTACCACTTATAAGTGTCCATCATAAAAACGCGTCGATTCAAAACTTTTCAGGCCACGAATTGAGATGAGACGAATCTATCTTGCTCAGATGGTTGTTTTATTGCTGATTCATAGCAGTTCAATTTTTTCTTTGATAACTGGTTGTCACGTTCACCAGTTTTAGATTCTGGAAAATTATCTTGAGAAATCTCGTTCTTAGGTTAACCCTTAAAAGCCGAATGTCCCTTCCAAGGGACATTTGAAAAAATGCTATAGGAGACGTAAAAAAATCGTTGAGGCATGGACCAATATTTTTTTGGACTTTGATGACCTAATAGAGTATAGAGTGAAAAAGAAATTTCTTAAAAACGACTGTCAGGGGACGCAGCAGGTTTTGGAAAATGCATGAATTTTTTAAATGCAATTTTGTATTTTGCAATGTATGCCTTTTCGTAAATATAGCGTGAATTAGCGTGAATTTTGGCTTTTCTGAGAGGCACAAAGGCAAACTACAGAATGAAACTGTTCCCTAAATTTTTACGTTACCTGTTGATACATAGTGATAGCATGAAGAAAATGTCCCTTGGAAGGGACATTAGGTCTTAACGGGCCGAAAAGTTTGAGCGAGACTTACATTGAAACCGATAGTGTGTAAATTTTGAAAAATTGTAAAATATTGCTAGAATTAGTTTCTTGAGTAATAAGAAACATATAAATAGAGGTATTTTAAAGAAAAAATTGCTTTTACATAAATTGATAACAGTGAAAAATTTTGGACCGTTACGACCGAATGTCCCTTCCAAGGGACATTTTATATCTCCGTAAGAAAAATTTTTTTTTTGTTTTTATTATCAATGATTCTTATTGAGATACTACACCTTCTGTTTTACCGAATAATTTGTTCAAATTGCGACGATAAGGCCTTCCGGCTTTTAAGGGTTAAGCTTTGTATTGTTATAGTAATCACCAAACATATACTTATACTTTAGAACACACATTGTTATTTTATAAATTTTCAAAACGAGTTAACCACACATTTCTGTTGCAAGTAATAATTTGTTCTGTAGAATTGTCTGTGTGCTTTCAGAAGTAATAGAATCATGTTCGAAAAACTGTCTACGTGACATTTTTTTTCTAGTTGCGCTAATGATCTAAAAATAAGAAGTTTATTATTATTATTATTGTTGATTTTACGATGATTTGATTTATTTTTTAAATCAAAAAATGCTACTCTATACTTATCAATCTTTATGAAGGATAAAGCGTATTTTAAGAACTTAAGAATTTTTTATAAGTAACTTGACGAGAATTCTTTTAAAACTGAAAACATGAAGGCCTTTTTCTAATGGCAGTGTTCATACTCTTTTTATCAATATCACGAATATACTATTAGGAAAAAAATCAAAAATGATTCACATTTCTATTGTTGTATGTAAAGAGAAAGTACTGATAGGATATTCTTTTTTTTTCTAATGCCTTATAGGTAAAACAAACTAGAAAAATTTTTATCAATTAACTCGAATTCGTAACAATTGCACTTTCACCAACATTTGACAGCAAATAAATTTTGTGTATAATGAATCGTTTTGGTGATATTGATGCTTCATTTCAAAAACTTCCACCTGTTTATGGTTATCGCAGTGAAAAACTTGTTCCAATTGAAAAAGCACTTGAACCTATCGAGTCTCAAATTGATGAACTACCTTATTACATAAAGATAGCTCAACGGCACTGTCACTTTCCGTCGGAACATGGCCTAACACGGGATCAATCGGCTGCTATTTATATTTATACAATGGAATGGGGTGATACTACATTGTATCGGGTATTAAATAAGGCACTGCGATCTGAAAATCGACAAGCATTAAAGATATGGTTTCCATATTTAAAATTATTTGATACAGCATTGGACAAGTTACCTACTGTTAAAGAGGCGGTATGGAGAGGTGTATCACTTGATATTGGCAAAAACTTCACCAAAAACCAAATTGTAACGTGGTGGAGTGTTAATTCATGTTCATCATCAGTCAATGTTATTAAAGATTTTCTTGGCAACAACAAAAATTCAACGCTTTTTCTTATTGAAGCTGTCAATGGAAAAAAAATTTCTGGATACACAGAATATGAGCAAGAAGATGAAGTTATTTTACGAATGGGCTCACAATTTCGCGTGAAGAGCGATCCTTTAGATCAATCGAATGACTCACATCTTGTACATTTAATTGAAATTGATGACAACAATGATCAACCATTAGCATCGGCTATGAATGACATGCAAATGGCAGCAGTACAGCCATCAATTAAAAGTAAATCGGGTATGTTGTTTATAATTTTTCTCAATGCAATAACACTTTGTGTGATACATATGCGCGGAATAATCTAAAAAACGTCTGAATTTTGTTTGCGTGAAATTTTTTTCACGAATTAGTGCTTTCAAAAAAATAATATTCAATGGAATTTGACCAGTTTTTAACATCCTCAAATGAGTTGATGCTACCTGCGCATCCGATATCGAATTGTCCTAGAACATCATTTTGCCATTTTTACCTATGCACTCATTCTCACCCGTCAATTCTTAAACTTTTTGACTTTGCAAAACTTGTTGAGATTGTTTTTTTTAAGTTGAAACTCGATATTTGCAATTTTCTAGCTAGTAACATCTCGGGAAACTCGGAAAATTTTTGACTGCCGAAAATGACACACTCTTTTTTGTAAACTCTCTCATGAATCTTCTGAAATGTTACTATCTGAAACGCTTAAAAGGTTTAGAAGCTATGATTTTTATACTTGAGTTTCTTGTTATCATGGAATTCCCTACGAGGCATTGCACTTGAGTTACGATCACTTCTAGTAGAATCTTGTTCAATTGATCATACCGATTGGATCGATATTTTTACAGTATATAGATACGTATGAGTTACGAATAAACAGAATTTTTTAGTTTGAACGGATCGGTCATTCTGAAGATATAAGTGTTGCATGTAATTATCGGGAACTCTGCTCAATTCGGTGCGCATTGTAGATCTATACTTTGCAATAATTTACCATTTTTTGAAAGAATAACAAAAATAATAGCAATGATCGTTTTTCCATAGATACCAACGATTACGAACGTCATTTTCATCATACTGAAAGTGACTTATTATCTAAAATATTTTTTTCGTCGGTATTATATACCAATTCTAGAATATAATGATTAGCAGTCATTGACTACTAATACAGCAAGTCAATTGAATGAGCATCATGTATTCTCCTGAAAGTAATTTCATTTGAAAAAATACATCACAAGAATAAGTGTATGGGTATTAGTGATGCGTTCGTTAAAAAAGAGACTCCCATTCATGCCAATACCCCTAGGTGAACTGAATACTGTTCAATCAAATTAGTAAAATTTTAATCTGTTTTCATTTTTCATATTTATCTTCAAACGCGTGAAAATTTTGGACTTATATTCAGCTGATTTATCGTGATTACATTTCAAATACAAAAGGAATAAAAAGAAAATGAATTAGAGTATATTCATGAGATTCAAAACATTTTCCTCTGAAAGTAGTGTGTCCGATAAAAATGGTCTAATCATCAAAAATACATGGTATATCCCACTCAAATGAATAATGGTAAAATAACTATTAAAATTCATTTAGATTCATTCATGAACCATTTTTACCATTTTATGATCATTGGGTGTAGTTTTTCAGAGTTTTCAGCTGATTCAAGTATGTTTATAGTTTCTAAAACTTGTGCAATTTGCTATAGTCTTTGATTACAAGTATTCATACTTTATATAAGTCAAGAATACAGTTTAAAATGTATAGCTACCGTCTATTTAAATATTCGATTGTTATGAAGTTAAACTTAGGAGTACTTAGAAACAGTTAGTGTTTGCATAATTTTTAACGATAAATTGCTAATTCTCAAATTAGGAAGAATTGTATTCTTTAAAGCATGCATTGTAATTAAAAGCATTTTTTACTGACAAGCGACAAGCCATAGAAAAGTACTTTTGAACTGTTTTCATAAATCACGAAGAACGAAAGCGATTTGAAAGCAACACAATACCACAACTATCGAAACACTAATATAGATCATCAAAAAAAACCAAGTTTTCTCTATGTTACAACAGACTTAGCATTTCAATTATATTTTAAGCGTACGCTTAGATAATGCACGAAACTAGAAGTTATTGCCTGCTATCCAACTCAAGTCATGGTCATTATTGTTTTTAACTTATATTTCGTAACATCTTCAATTCATAAAAGCATTAATCTAACAATTTATAAATATTTATGAAAAGCTATTTTTTTCCAATGACATTTTCTATACAAAAACGTTCTCAAGTATTTTACATGACTACTGCTGATAATAGGGTGTGGGTGTAGTTTTAATCTTCACCCACACCCACACCCACTCTCACCCTAGCATACTAGATCGTTGCATAAGCAGGCCAGACTATCCCCACAGCGGTCTTATGCAAGCACAGATTCTCCATCTAGGATCCAAGATCATCTCATTCGGATTGCACATGTTCCATATAGAACCGTTCATAGCGTTCAAGATTATCTGTCGAGCAATGTAGGCATTTCTGAACAAGTCGGCATAAGAGTCATAGTAACAATCTGATAGAATCCTCTGTGTATGTTTCAGTTTTCGATTATGATAATATCCTTCTGAAATCAATAGAAATCATTCAATGTTTCTGAATTTTCTAGAACCGTTTCTGATAACCCTCGAAAGATTCTGGCTTTCGTACAATGACAACTGAAATCGTCAGCGACCTATATTATCTTCTATGTAGAGCTTGCGTCCAAGAATGAGTAGCACTGAAAGTGAGTCAGCGTAATCTACTTGCAAGAATCGTTGCCAAGTACTTTTTTTTTTCATAGAAAACCAGGAAAAAGTTTTCCAAGTTTTATATGTATGTAAGAATGTCTCATTTGTAGTACTTTCTTGTGTATGAGACAGGCGCAGATCCCTCTGCAAGGACGGTTCATTGTTTTCTTCTTTATTGATTGTAGTCGTTCCCAACGTCCCAGTCAATGCCCGATGGTCACAGAATGGAGTGACCGTTGCTGGAGGTCACGAAGAAGGTGATACCACCAATAAATTGTTCTGGCCTCGCGGTCTCTTCGTTGATGATGATCAAACGATGGTCATCGCTGACTACGGAAATCATCGTATCATCCAATGGAAGAAGGGTGATACGAATGGACGCGTCGTTACTGGTGGCAAGGGCAAAGGAAATCGATTGGATCAATTGAATGGTCCAACCGATGTGCTGATCGACAAAGAGACGGATAGTCTCATTATCTGCGATTACTGGAATGACCGAGTCGTGCAACGGTCTGGTCGTAGTTGCACAACTGAAGGAGAAATTCTCATCGACAACATCAAATGTTTTGGATTGTTTCTGGATGATCAGAGATATCTCTACGTCTCTGACACCGACAGAAATGAAGTAAGACGATATCAAATAGGGGACGAGAATGGAACTCTCGTGGCTGGTGGCAATGGCGAGGGTGCTGGTCTCAATCAACTCAACTTTCCGACCTACCTCTTTGTCGATCAACAACAGTCTGTATACGTGTCAGACTGCTGGAATCATCGTGTGATGAAATGGAATAAAGGTGCACAAGAAGGAATTGTTGTCGCTGGGGGTCAAGGTCAAGGGGATGCTCTGACACAATTCTCGTATCCTAATGGACTCTTCGTCGATGCGTTGGGTACCATTTATGTGGCAGACTCGGATAATCATCGAGTGATGCGTTGGCCTAAAGGAGCGAAACAGGGCACTGTTATTATTGGTGGAAATGGTTGGGGAAAAGAAGCAAATCAGTTGAACGTTCCCATTGGTTTGTTCTTCGATCGACACGGCAATCTCTATGTCGTCAATATGAATAATCATCGTGTTCAACTTTTTTCTATTCAATAAGTTGCATTACAATCGAAAAACATTTTTTTAAATTTCTATTCACGTGCACGCGATCATGAACATCTTGATAGAGCCGTGGCGAGCGTACTGCTCATGCACGGGGTGTGGGTGTGGGTGGTGGGTGTGGGTGTGGGTGTGGGTGGGGGTGGGGGGTGGGTGGGGGTGGGGGGGGGGGGGGTGGGGTGGGGGTGAGATGTGGGCGTGTGGGTGTGGGTGTGTGGGTGTGTGGGTGTGTGGGTGTGTGGGTGTGTGGGTGTGTGGGTGTGTGGGTGTGGGAGTGGGTGTGGGTGGGTGTGGGTGTGGGTGTGGAGTGGGTGTGGGTATGGGTGGGTGTGGGGTGTGGGTTATATGAAGACATGAACCCACACCCCACACCCACACACATACCCACGCCCACGCCCACACCCACACCCACACCCCACACCCACACCCACACCCACACCCACACCCCACACCCATACCCACACCCACACACCCACACCCACACCCACACCCACACCCAC